GACAGCTGTGGGGTTCGAACCCACGCCCTTTCGGACTGGCGCCTTAAGCCAGCGCCTTAGACCACTCGGCCAAACTGTCGATGCATACAAGCTGGTTAACCACGAGGAGATGGAGCCTAGACCTCTATAAAATGTTACAAAAACATCACACTATCCATCCGAGTAGAATCTCCAAACTCGATCTAGCAATGGAGGCTCGATACGGCGTCGATAACCACTGAATAACTGTGTCATCGACTCATCGTTATAGTATTCAAGCCACTGCGCTTGTACCTGTGATGACACTCCCAAGCAATCGAGGATGAGATACAAACGCCGCGTTCCGCGTTTCGTTAATACAATGCCAGGTGAATACAGCGGGGTACACCTGATTTTCGCGACCAGAAATAATGATATAACGTATCAGACACTCTGAAATGGGAAGACTTTAGAGTACGTGACAGCACACCGAGATACGTAGGTCCATCATGAATTTCCAATCATATACTCCCCAGAGCTGGCTCGAACGATGCGACTCACCGTCGCTTCGTTGCCGAGCTTGAGACACATCCCCGCCTTGTGTAGAAGCTCTGCGATAGAAAGGATCTGGACTCAAGTAGCAGAGGACTGACTGACGAATTCGCTGGAAGTAGTAGGCCTTATCCAGAAATTTCCAACAACCGCGTGAGACGCAGCATGCGTATCTGGCCTTACATAGTAGGGGACAACATTGATTGTGCACTTCCTTCCCGCTGCCGCTCTTATATCGCATAGGTCCGACTTACATAGCGGCACATGAGCTCTATGTCATTGGAAGGAGCTCGCTTGATCCACGGAAAAACAACGACCTTCACAAACGAGTAAGCTGCTCCTGAGTCAGCTTTGTTCGGTATGGCTAACGTGAGGTAGGCGTGAGATACTTTGGCGAACTAAACTTGCGATTTCTTGACACAGTGCGCACTGCTCACCTTACTTCACTGAGTGAGACTCACTCGAGCAGTGTAATGAGTGAATCCTCTCCACACAGCGAAGATACGCCAATAGTGCTGCAGCCTGACGACTACATCTATCATTATGAAGGCGCTCAAGGTGGGGCACTCGGCCGCGTGGACACCTTTCAACGGAGTAGTTCGCACTTTCAATACAATACTCCATTTCTCCAGGCGGAGCGAATATACCGTATGCCTCAAGGTATGCATGCCACCCAAAGATACGGCCCAGTATAATCAACTTGCCGATGGGGCCGCTATGCCACCCCAAGATACGCCTCAGTATAATCAACTCCCCGATGGGGCGGCTATACCACCCCAAGATACGCCTCAGTATAATCAACTCCGCGATGGGGCGGCTATGCCACCCCAAGATACGCCTCAGTATAATCAACTTCCCGATGGGGCGGCTATACCACCCCTCAGTATAATTAACTTCCCGATGGGGCGGCTATGCCACCCCAAGATACGCCTCAATATAATTAACGTCCCAATGGGGCGGCTGTGTCACCCCAAGATACGCCTCAGTATACTCAACTTGCCGATGGGGCGGCTATGCCACCCCAAGATACGCCTCAGTATAATCAACTTGCCGATGGGGCGGCTATGCCACCCTAAGATACGCCTCAATATAATCATCTCTGCAGGCACACGCTGAAGGAGAATCAATCTCGTGACGAGGTTCTCGTCGGCCTGACTGAGGGAGCTTCGATTGCGAAAAATTAATATCCCGATTTCGCTCTTGGCCGTGCGTTTAAAGTGAACGGACCATGCGTGAGGATGAGGTTCTGGGCGAGCGCTTTTTTAAATCACTGAAAGCTGCCATGTCTAGGCGCAAGATAGTTCGTGGGATGGTACATTTCGGAATAGTGTTGGGATTACTGATGGCCGTCACGAATCTACTTCGCTCTCTATTCGGGCCGGCTAACATATCCAATGCTGAGGAGGAGGAGGTCAAATTACAGGATGTGAGTCCAGAGGACTACCCAACTCCCCAGAAGTATCTCGAAGGCGCCCCTATTCCGAGCTGGTAGCATTTCAAGGCATCTTTTTCATATACTTTTTTCACAAAACCTAGGTACTCGTTCCAGAGCAATCTGGTCGGCGACATGGACCTGAAGCCAGGCATGGCCCGCATGCTCGAGGTCGACAAGAGGCTGACTGTTCCCACTCGGACCCACATAAGATTCCTGGTAAGCCTGCTTAGTGCCCCTCTGCTATACCGCAGTTCTTCTTCAGATCACAGGTGCTGATGTTATCCATTCCTGGTCAGTGCCATCACTGGGCATCAAATGTGATGCTACACCCGGGCGCTTGGTGAAGGTAAGCATCTATCCCTTCTAATCGTCCATAAGCCTCCTTCAGATCAACACCTTCATCCAGCGTGAAGGCGTGTTCTACGGTCAGTGCTCGGAACTCTGTGGAACCCTCCATGCGTAAGTCATGGTCAGTTATCACTACCATTGTCCACAAGACGACTCAGATTCATGCCCATTGTGGTCGAGGCGGTCAGCCCCGAGGCCTTCGCTGCTCACGCCAAGAAGTGGTATAAGGACTAATGTTATCCCTCGTCCAGAGGGAAGATCTGACACTATTATCCTTTTGATATTACTTACACTCCGAGGCCTGCCGCCCGGAGACAACGTGGGGGGGAATCATGTTTGCCCTTTGATGAGGGCTATTGCGTTATTCAGTACGTCAATAGATATCTTGCAACGTTATCACGCCGTGCTTCTAAGCAATGCTAAATGGACGACTGATAAACACATTCATACA